TCGTATTTTTGAAAATAAAATCACTTCTAATTCCTCTTTTGATTAAGTTTCCTTCTAATAGTATTTATGTAGATATTTCTAGTCTAGGGGCTATGTATGTAATTTTCCCATAAATGTCAACCCAAAAACCACCGCCACAAGATTTATGACTCACACAGAAAGTTGGCCCAACACTTGTTTCATCATAACAGGTTTTGAAGGCTAGCTTGGAGAGAAGGAAATAAATGTAGTGAATCACTTGGAAAGAATTAAATCTCATGCAAAACTTGGACAATATATTTGATTTAATTTCACATTTTTATAAAATTACTTGTGTTGTTTTATTTGATTAATCACAATGTGTTTGATTTTATTTAAATAAATTAATTATTCACATCTAATTCTAAAAATTGAATCTCCATTCTATAATTGTTGTTGCGTTCAATTCGTTAGTAGAAAACGATGGCCAAAATTTATCGGGAATAACACGACCTAATTAAGTACACATAACGTGTGAGTCTACTACTTAGACTAACATATTTTCCTAGATCCTAACGCTGCTACATCATTAAATCTCGAAAGTGCGTTTAGATAATCAGTAGTTAGGTTCAATCGGATAGCGTATTTCGACCAAATATGTTGTAAAGAACTCGGGTAGCAGAGCACGTTGTTATCTAGGGGCAGTAATTTCGGAAGATAGTGTGACGAAAGATAGTGAAACTTGACGTCACAATTAGGTAGACTAGTCGAGCGAGACGTTGACGAAACTGTAAACTAGACTTTCTCTATATAGTATTTTAATTTTATTTTATTTTATTGTTTTGTCATTCTTAATTGAATTAGATTTTGTAATCTAATCTCCCTCTTGTGTCGCTTTATATAAATTCAATCAATACGAAAAAATCACGATTTGCTTCACACTCATCGTAGATAGAACCGTGAACTAAATTTTTCTCGATATATTAATTATCATTTTATTTTATTTCATTTTATTTTATTATTTTCTCATTCTTAGTTAGATTAGATTTTGTAATCCAACCTTCCCTCTTTTATAGTCTTATATAATTACAATTCATACAAAAATTCACGATTTGATTCACACTACTCATGAGATGGACTCTTACTTTACTACTAATTAGTAGAGGTTAATAAAAAAAATATATAAATTCTAATTTACCGCGTCATGACGCGCGATCAACTTTATTCTTCTTAATGAACTGTTTTGCGGCCTTCTTTTCTGCCAATCGATCAAATATTGGAATCATCTTATTGAGGCCGTTAACAATTTCAAAATTTTCAGATTAATCGAAGAATTTTTAGAAAGTTAAAATCGTTTTTTTCTCTTGTCGACGTCGTTTGATCTCCACACACGAATTGGTTTACAAATCGTTTTGCTTTATGTCAGACCACATACTTTGCACTTCGTATGGTCGTCTTCCGTCATTGATTGTCGAATTCCTTCTTCCTCTTCCATTTCCGATTAATATAAAGTATAAATGTCTAACGGGAACTAACAGAATCTGTGTTTATCATCCCGGATAATGCCCATTGATCAAAGATATGAATTTATCAGCGGATTTTATCTCCAATTTATGGCCACTTTGGGAGAGTGGATATAAGCTTATCATCCCGGCTAATGCCCAACCCACTACTATACAATTTTTCAAAGTGGATTCTATGCATATATTCAAACTTGCAATCACTTGTAAATTATACAAAGGAACAATAGAAATATGAAAGTCTTTCACACTTAATCTACACAGAGCTGTTAAATAAAACGAGTCGCTCTTCAGCTCGACTCGACTCGTTAAAGTTCTTGCTCGAGCTCGTCTATTTAACGTTTATTAGAACACTCACAATGCATTGGGTCTAATTTTACATATATGGCATATAAAAAGACTTAAGTTGTAAATGACATTGACAAACTCAAGTAAAAAAACTCAAAAGCTATTCAATGCAAAAATAAAATACTAGGTCTGGCATACATGCCAACCAATAAAAATGCTCTAATATGTTTAATTTATTAAAAGAAAATTTAAATGAGGATTAAATGATGAGTGTTTGGGTTTGTACTTTGGTCCAAAATAGACCCAAGTGTGGACTTGGTCTCTTTTATTTATTGCCACATAAGCTAGACCATGTCCACCTTTAATTGCATTGGGAGACATTTTTTAATAGACTAAGTCTATTTCCTTTGTGGCATAGGATATTTTATTAAGAGACTCAATACATTGTGGATGCTCTTAAGGCTCAAAATAGGAACTTTTTGAGTAATTTTCTGAAATTCAGCTTGTTATGGCCCGAGCTCGACTCGATAATATTGATATAAGAATCAGGCTTCAACGCATTTATTGTCTCGTTTAGTTCTGTTTGATAAACGCTCGACTATCAGAAATTCGAACTCAATTTGACTCGTTTACATACTTAATTCAGAATAATTTTAACATTTTTACTTTTTCCTTATTTTCTTTTTGATTCTCCCTTGTCGCTTTTGTGGGGACCAAATGAATTCCTAAAGAATCAATAGCGTGCCACCTTCGCTACTTAATTAAATAGGAATCCTCTAAGCAAGAAACTCTCATAAATTGTTCTTTAGAAGGCAAGAAATGTAAATATAAGAACTTAAGAACAAAAAATTAGAAAAATACAAAAATAATAATAATAAATCAATGTGACCAACTGTTTAACTAATAATAACCAAGCTATTAATGAAAATAGAGTGAATTTCTGAAGCACACAGCATCCAATTCGAACCATACTATATTTACTAATAGTTGAACTTATGGAATAATAAATGACACCAAATATTCCCCTTAAAAGCAAAAGGGAAACTCTAGTCAATACCCCCCACAACAAATCTCAATTTTCCCATCATATTCTTCAATACATCATAAAGTCAAACGAGTCATGAATAATTCAACTTCCATGCCATAAAAAACTCCACACACACACACACACACACACACACACACACACACACCAAAGTCTCATCAACTATATATATAGCTATTCATGTGCCTCTCACAAACACATACACACAACAAGACTTCACACACCAACCTAAGTGAAAACCTAAACACACCAACATGAAAACCTCAAATTCCTTTCTCCTCACACTCTACACAACACTAACAATCCTTGCCCTTACACCACAATCCTCCCTCTCACAACCCATCATAGACCAATTCTACCAATGCATAAACCTAAACTCCGATCTCGCTGTCCCCTTCTCCTCCGCCTTCTTCTCACCCGACAACTCCTCCTTCTCTGTTGCCCTCGAATCCACCGCCCAAAACCTCCGGAGACTCGTCCCCTCCGTCCCCAAACCCCTCCTCATCTTCACCCCATTCATTGAAAACCAAGTCCAAGCCACTGTCACCTGCGCTCGAGCCATGGGCCTCCGAATCCGGGTCCGAAGCGGAGGCCACGACTACGAAGGCCTCTCCTACTCCTCCGAGTCGAACGACGAGCCCTTCGTCCTCCTCGACCTCTCCCGACTGCGGTCGATCATCGTCGACCCGGACGAAAAAACCGCGTGGTCCCAAGCCGGGGCCACAATCGGCGAACTCTACTACCGAATCTCCCAAAAGAGTTCGAAGCTCGGTTTCCCCGCTGGCCTCTGCGCTAGCCTCGGGATCGGTGGCCACATAACCGGTGGGGCTTACGGGCCCTTGATGAGGAAATACGGGCTCGGAGCCGACAACGTGCTCGACGCCCGATTAGTGGACTCCTCCGGGAGGATCCTCGACCGGGAGTCGATGGGTGAGGATCTCTTCTGGGCCATCCGCGGCGGGGGCGGGGGCAGTTTCGGTATTTTACTCGCGTGGAAGGTTCGGCTCGTCCCAGTCCCGACCACGACCACGGTTTTCACGGTCTCGAGGACACTCGAGCAAAACGCGACCAAAATTCTCGCCAAGTGGCAGCAGGTAGCTGACACGATCGACGAGGACCTCTTTCTCAGGGTCATCATACAAAAGAGCAAAAACACGATTTTGAACCTTTACAACGCGGTGTTTTTTGGCAAGGCGGAGAGGCTGATTCAGGTGATGGACGAGAACTTTCCCGAGCTCGGGCTCACGAGAAAGGACTGCACGGAGATGAACTGGATCGAGTCGATTATGTACATCACGGGCTACCCGAGCGGGACTCCACCCGAGACCCTACTTCAGGGGAAGTCCTTGTTCAAGAACTACTTCAAGGCGAAGTCGGATTACGTAACCAATGCCATCACGGAAGAAGGGCTCAAGGGCCTTTGGACGAGACTGTTAGACGAGGAAACGCCGTTGATGATACTCACGCCTTACGGAGGCATGATGAGCCGGATTCCGGAAGACGAGACACCTTTTCCGCATAGAAAAGGAGTTAAGTACATGATACAGTATGTGACCACGTGGAATGATGATAAGCCCGAATCGCAGGCCCGACACATGGATTGGATCAGGAGAGTATACAACTACATGGGCCCACACGTATCAATGTTGCCAAGACAGGCTTATGTAAACTATAGGGATCTTGATTTGGGGATGAACAAGAATGGGACGAGCTTCATTGAGGCGGCCTCGTGGGGCGCGAGGTATTTCAAGGATAATTTCGACAGGCTTGTGAAGGTTAAGACGATGGTCGACAAGGAGGATTTCTTCAGGCACGAGCAGAGTATTCCGGTTCTGCCATTGATGCACGAGAGAAGAAGCGGAAAGACTGTGTTTCACTGAAGGAGTTAACAAGATACATATATGTGTACGTTATGCTTTGAGAGTTTCATCATCTTATTGTGAATGATGTTAAAGTGTTGGACCCATTTTATGTTTATGTTTTTAAGCGTTACACGAAATCTGGTCTAGCTTCACTTTCTGGAAAAAAATGCACAAACGTGATAATTAATTAAGTACACAGACATGAGACAGACATCATTTACTGAAAAATGATATCTCCGTTAGTTTTTTGCATTGTTCTAAAAATCGGCCTAGGCGGTGCCCGAGCGCCTCCGATTTGCATAAATCGGCAAAAAAATCGGCCAGGCGGCTAGGCGGCGCCTAGGCGGCCCTAGGCGACCTTGGCGGGCTCGGCGGCCAGGACGTTAGGCGGCGCCTAGGCGGGCGTAGGCGGACCTAGGCGCTCCTAGACGGGCTCGACGGCAATTTTTCAATTTTTTTTAATTTTTTTTTTAATTTTTTAAATATTAATTACATTATTTTGTTCTCATGTTTTCTTTAAAATATATTAATTTTATTATTTAGACTTAAATGTGTCGATTTATTATAAGTTGAGATAATTATATTATGTTTCTAGTTAAAATAAATAAAAAATAAGGTATTTAATATTGATTTCTAGGCCCCGACTATGCGCCGCCTAGGCCCCGCCTAGGCGCTCTAGGCGCTAGGCGCTGGTCGAGCGCCTAGCGGGCACCTAGCAACTTTTAGAACACTGGTTTTTTGTTCAGTGGTTTTTTCCCAGAAAATAGAACACATTCACTGAAAACAAATGCAATTCGCAAAAACTGTATTACATCATACAAGTTGCTAGATATGCACCTAAAAAGGAAAAATCCAGCTACCAACTCCATAAAAAATTACACAAACTAAGAAATGAATATCAGATCCAAGAAAGGATGGGAGTGAAGAAATTTGGAGACGACTCGCTTTTCCAATCGTCCGAATTTGACAGTTACCGCAAAACATTAACAATTACGGGCCGATAAAATCATATACCCTTTTTACCCAGTTTTGATGGAGGTAAGGTTCCGAACACCCTGTCCCAAAGGGACGATGTGATACCGTATCCTTTGTTCTGTACTCGGAAATGATGATTTAAATGATATTTCTGCAAAACAGAATAAATGACTGAATAAAATGTTGCCAAACTAGAAATATCACCTATTTACTAATATATACAGGTTTAAAATTCGGCTCTTTTTTTACCTTGAGGCCCTTGGGAATTTCACTGGTGGGCTGCCCATGGTGCACATAATAATGAGTGACATCATACATCACATAACCGAGCAAACCACCGCCAAATAACGCAGGTGCCGTGGTGGGAGTAGATATTAATTTTATCAAATTCCAAAACTGCAATAAAAAGATACATAGATCACACATAACAGATAAATAATAATTTCCCAAAAAAAAAAATGAGCAATGAAAAGTAAGAAAAATGTAAGTTCCACCAAAAGGCATTAAACTAACGTACGGGATATAAAAGAACAGCAGTAGCAGCAGGGGGAAAAACGAGACGTAGACCATCCATTGGGTGCTTGTGATGACAACCGTGGAGAAGATAATGAACTGTGTTTCCCCTGAAAGTTCACAAAACTCTTCATCAAAACAAATATAATCAAGAAATTACATAAGGAAAAAGGATTTTGGAAAGGTGCAAGAGCACACTTAGTCACTTACCAATAACTCTTTGTTTTAATGTGGAAAAGGAATCGGTGCAGTGTATATTCGACCAGAGTCCAAACAAGAATGCCAAGAGCAGCAATTAGTACAACTTGAGGTATTGTGTGGCCCAAACTAACGGATTTTGGAATGAACCAGCTAACAACTGGCAGCCAGATAAGAGGGATGACCCACCATTGAGTACGAGTCAAAAACTATCACAGAAGAAATCGACAACTGAATAGCTTATAAGATTAAACTTACTGATCATAATACAACATTTTATGGACAAAATTTGGTCCTGGATATGAACGAAATTAGTACCTCCCAGAAATCACTTTCGAAGAATCGAGGGCCTTCCTTGCTGACGATTGGCTGATGAACCCAATCCTGATATTCTTCACCAAGATGACCAACCTATGGAAGTTAATTAGATCATAATGAGACAAAGGGATGTGTGTGTATCGACAAGATGCCAAGCAATGAAGAACCGAAACTATGAAAATTACAAAGGCAATAGGTGTCCACTTTTGAAAATTAGTTGTCTACTTCAGAACTAAAGTAAAACAATCAGAAAGGTGCAAAAAAAATGGAAATCTTATAGCATTTATGATAACTAACTGGTGTTACCTGGAAGACAAGAGGTTTATTTAGGTCGACAGTAAAGCCCTGCACCACCATCTTGGTATCAGCAAGATATGACTGTTATTAGGAAAAAAAAATGTCAGTATCAAGCATGATTTATAATATTGCACCAGTATCAACACTTCACATAACACCAAATCAACCTTTGTAACTACTAAAACACAATTTGCAGCTTCGACCACTGTCAAAAGATTTGCCAATAAAGTGCACAAAAATCATTTTCCCCATCAAGTTGAATTATTCAATAACGAACTGAACAGTTTCCGAATTTCCATGGAAACAAGAATGCCATTAGTTTTGAAGCTTAAGACAATTAATCGATCTCGAAATACATGCGGATTTAGGTTTAACCCATGAAAAGGTTTCCGCAAAAAGATTGAGATGGCAATGATTAAGTTCTCACAACCCTCGCCAGTTAAGGAACAACTATGTACATGAATTCGAAAAAAAAAAAACAAATGAGGTCAATACGAGTATTTTACGTAAAAAAAACTTCTAACCACAACCACACAAGGGGGAAAAACAAAAGGAGAAGAAAATGAAGAAGTTGTTTTAATTTTAACAGGACTTTTCAAAAGTATCTAACAGCGCCTAATATATGATTAACCATCAAAACATAAAATACATTTTGAAATGGTAAACCATGAGATCAGTTCAAACTTGTGAATGCATTACACAATGCCATTAATACAGATGCAAAATTCGGAAAATGCACATTCCGCGAGAAACTTGCAAACCACAATCACAACATAGATTCATATCTGAAGTGCTTCTTTTTTCCACAACTTCCGGCATTACAGTAAACATAATTAAGCTTGTTCAAGTCCACAGAACCCATCTTTCCACTTCACTCAAGCTACTCCATTCAATCGAAATACAAAATTTCAAAATCCACATGAATTATAAGGGGGAAATAACACTTATTTTCGACGAGACATCCCAATTTCAGCTCAAGATTCACAAGCTTCCTCAGAACAACATATTACCAACGAAAAGAAACAGCCAAAAGAAGAAGAAAAAAAAAAAAAAAGTACCAGCTTGAAACCTCTGAATCTAAATAATACAAAAACCAAAAACCTACACAGAAAATGCGCAGAAAAAATTCACAAACAAATCACAGATCGAACACCAATCAACAGAACAGAAACCAACTTCTAACCGATTTCTTAGCGAATAACACACGGACGCACACGAGCGCCGGTCAAAATCGTCAATCGGAGCAGAGATTCAGTCTCACTCGCCGCCGGCAGCTGCAGAGGAGTTGAACCACACTCACAGTCACAGTGATGAACGATTTATAATGAAAATCAAACTTCTAAATTATGACAATTTTGAGTTCTTATAATAATAAATTAATAATAGTTAGAGGGGGGAGAGATGAGGTTTCTGGGATGATCGTGGCCGCAGATCTGAAAGGAATCGGGATGCACTTTGGATTCTAACGGTTGCCAACCTGGCCGGCCCACATGAAACATGTAAACAACTATTTTATAAAGGGTAATTGTTATTTTAGTACTATGGACTAATTGTGATTTTGGTACCTATCCTTTATTTATTGCGAAAATACAACCCAACCTTTACGTTTTTTGCGAATTTGGTACTTATTCTTTATTAATGGCTAAAATACAACCCAACCTTTACGTTTTTTGCGAATTTAGTACCTAATAATTTTTCTGTACCTAATAATACAAATAAAATATCTTTATTTTGATTTTTTGATGTAAATCATAAAATTAATATTTGTATTATAATGAATGATACAAAAAAATATTATATAAATCATAAAATTAAAAATAAAAATAAGATAAATTATAATAAAATATTATAAAATAAAAATATAGTGAAAGGCAATAAAATGATTTAAAGTAATTTTTAATAAATTAAAAAATTAAAATATATGTACTTTTAATAAAAATAACGTGTAAGAAATAAAAATTAACAAGTAAAAATATATATAAATAAAATAAAATTACATTAAATCAAATTAAATTTTGTTAAAATGATATAAAATAATTTTTTTCTTTTATAATTTGTTTGAAAAGTAATACTTTTTTAAAATATTTTTTTTAATAATTATATATGGTTTTTTACAGAATCTCTAAATGTAATTTTAATAATATTGAAAATGCAGTTCATTTACCTAATATTAAAAAAATTGTATGTATCTTCATTTCTTCAGGAATTTTGTTGTTAAGGTAAATACAAAAAAGAGAAATATTTTTTCTTTTGAATTTTCATAGGAGATACTATGATTTTTTAAATCATGGTTGCATTTCATTGATATTTAAATATGCCCATTCAATTTAAATATGGTTATTAATAATTATATATGGTTTTTTACAGAATCTCTAAATGTAATTTTAATAATATTGAAAATGCAGTTCATTTTATTTGTATCATTCATTATAATACAAATAACAATTTTATGATTTACATCAAAAAACCAAAATAAAGATATTTTATTTGTATTATTAGGTACAGAAAAATTATTAGGTACTAAATTCGCAAAAAATTTAAAGGTTAGGTTGTATTTTAGCCATTAATAAAGAATAGGTACCAAATTCGCAAAAAACGTAAATGTTGGGTTGTATTTTCGCAATAAATAAAGGATAGGTACCAAAATTACAATTAGCCCATAGTACATGTACTAAAATAACAATTACCCTTTTATAAATATTAAAGTTAAGATTTTGAACAAACACGCTATTTTAACATTCCAAAATAAATATCAAAAGTAACATTTTGAAAACCCTTTTTATTGATGGGAGACCTTTTTTTTTTGTTCACAAATATGCATATTCATAATAAAAAATTTCAAACTTTAAAAAACAAAATAAATATAATAATACTTGATATATCATTAAACATGTTTTTTCGATAATCCCTTGTCCTGATCAGTGTTCTAAAAGGGCTAAATTTCATGTATACTTAACGAAATAAAAATATTTGTAAAATTATCATGGTGTGATATTGTATTACATCCCTACAAAATAGTGTGGAAATAATTGCCAATATGCTATGATAAAGTTACCAAATAAAAATATTCTTATTATGGGACCTTTTTTATGACAAAAGAAAAGAATTAAAAACACACATGGAAAGTAAATCAATCCTAATATTAAGGAGGTTGTTCAGTAAAAATAGGAAAGCTAATGATTTTGAATTTCAAGCGACATTAACGTAAAACTCTTTAAAAATCTCATAATCTTGAAAAATATTTTTAACAAATCGGGTAATTTTTTTTGTTCTTGTTGATCTATCTTTTGATATTGTCGATATATTTTTTGTGTATTTTTGTAATTTGTCTTGATTTATTATGTATATTGTTTGTATATATACAGTATATAAAACAAGTTGAAAAATCGTACTCATGTACATATACTTAAAATATATGGTCGACATTAACATATACTAAAAAACAGTATATTTGTCGGGAACATATACGTAAGATATACTCATTGTATACCGTTGACATAAAAGAAAATACACAACAAAGTATGTTGATTGTGATGGTTTTTTAAAACTTTATAGAGTATATTTGTGGTACATATGTTGTATATATGTAGTTCTTCCATGACCAATGACCGAATCAATTTCATCATGTGCTTTCTTCGTCTTGGAATGATGCTACATTAGTCGGACCAAAAGAAAAATACTAAAAATATACTGTATATACCAACAACATATACCCGCAACATATACAGAATAGTTGGAAGGATGCTACATTACTCGGACGGAAACATATACTGAAAATATACATTATATACACGTAACATATACAGAATAAACTATCTATCAACGAATCAAGCACACCAATTCTTGAAAATCCAAAACACAGTCAGATCACAAAAGAAAAATAAACATCCCACGTAATAAGTTGTTTTCATCGCTAGAATTTTTTTCAGATCTACTTCGGTTTGGTGTCGCCTTCCCCAAGCTTAATTGGAGGGCCAACGCCGACAAACCACTATCTCCAGCCGTTGGAGGGCAAGTGCGCCTACTTGGTTAGGTGGTCGCCAGTCGGGGTTTAGGGTCGCCTTACTACCGGCGGGTATGCCAATCCATTGATCCGTCGACCCCGCGCTCATCCATGTCGTGGGTCGCCCGTATTCGACCGATAAAAAAAAACAGATAAAATATTTAACTGTAGAAGAAGAAGAAGAAGAAGAAGAAGAAGAAGAAGAAGAAGAAGGAACAGAGCAGAGAGAGAGAGAGTCGTGATTAGATTTTTAAGAAGTTGATAAGTTTTTCATTAATTACTCTAAAATTAATTATATATGTAAATTTATTATTTTATTGGCATTCTGGTAGTTTTGCAAATAAAAAGGGCTCAACTAGTTGAATTGCTATTATTTAAGATTTGGTTTCGTTTATGTAATAAAAATTTATAAATGTCGTACATAGTGCAAATTTCTCGTTCTAAAAGTCGCTAGGCGCCCGCTAGGCGCTCGACCAGCGCCTAGCGCCTAGAGCGCCTGGTCGAGCGCCTAGGCGGGGCCTAAAAATCGATATTAAATACCTTATTTTTTATTTATTTTATCTATATACAAAATAAAATTATCTCAACTTATAATAAATCGACACACCTAAGTCCAAATAATAAAATTAATATATTTTAAAGGAAATATGAGAATAAAATAATGTAATTAAACTGAAAAATTGCCGCCGAGCCCGCCTAGGGGCGCCTAGGTCCGCCTAGGCGCCGCCTAACCGCCTGGCCGTCGATCCCGCCAAGGCCACCTAGGAGCGCCTAAGGCCGCCTAGGCCTGCTTAGGCGCCGCCTAACCGCCTGATCGATTTTTTCTGTCGATTTGTACAAATCGGCGGCGCCCGGGCACCGCCTAACGCCTAGGCGCCGCCTAGGCGGCCGCTTAGGCCGATTCTTAGAACAATGGTCCTGAATTCTGAAGTGATGCTCTGTTAACTTCATAACTTCTAAAATGAATATACGACTCGATTTATTTGCAAATAAATGGAATTACGATATTATTAGGTGAGTTCACCTTGAGTTCATGAGAAATACCTTCCAATGGTTTCCGATAGTGTAGGTAGTAATGAGTCAGATCATAGAAAACATATCCCAGAATCGAGCCTCCGAACAAAGTAAGGGCATAGGCCTCCAATGCAAAGAGCTTGATCAGACGCCAGGCCTGACTTTAAAAAGATCGGAAATGATTGTTAAGAAAAGAAAACAAACAAGTTAATTCCACGGATACTCGGTTGAGGTTTGAGCCTTTGAGGTACTAACAAAAAAGAACCCAAGTGAAAGAAACTGAGATTGTGATTCGATCTTACATTGTACGCTAATCGTGTCTTGTTAGCATGATGGCGCCTGTCGGCACCATCACACATTTTTTTACAATTTGAACCCCTCAACTTTTCCATAATATGCTTCGTACTTAGATGAAGATTAAGGCTAGTAATATTTAGAATATTGACCACAACAGCAGTTTTCATGCAACACGTAATAGAAATCGTCAACTATTCCATTGCGTCTTATATTAACATGTAATATATAAACAAATCCCAAACGAAACATCAACGAAGCCACAAAAATAAAAACAAAAAAGAAAACGAAAAATTGATGGAAACAAAACTACGGTAAATTTGATTTCACCGTGTTTTTTATTGTTGGATCAACGCATACACGGGTGTGTAGATCCAAAGGGAGAGAGCAGGTGGGACCCACAAAATTTGGCGCCAAACATCGCGAAAATTTGTGGCTGGGCCTCTCAAGACTGAAAGGGCACGACTTGTCGCATTAGGCTGGGAACAAGGCCTGTTTAGTTGTGGTCCATTAAGAAAAGTTGAAGGCCCCATATAGACCCATAACTGGAAGACACACGGAGAGTCCAATAATGCAAGCCCAAGTGCGCACTCATTTGATATTTAAATATACATATATATATATATATATATATATATATATATATATATATATATACTAGTACAACTCCCGTATATTACACGGGTGCTTGCTAATTTTTTTTCTTAAAATCTAAAACTAATGAGAAAAAATATTTAAAAATTTAATTACCTTTTATAAGAATATATATTATTATATATTTAGTATGACACTTTTTATTTGTGAGACTTACATGTGTTATATTATAATAATCTTTTTAACTTACAACATATAACTACATTAAACATAAATATATCAATTGAAAAATAATTTAATTTTCTAATGAATTTTAATAGATATAATTATTTATTATTATTAAAAATATAAATATAATTTATTTATTTCAGTATATACAATATGGATGTCAAATCGAAGATCATCAAAAGATGATTAATTTGATATATTATATATGTAAAACCGATAAAAAATACAAAAATTATCAACTTTTAAAATAAATTTACAATTCAATAGCTATTTGAAGGAAACAAATGAAAAGTCAGGGATATATTAGTCACTTAGTGTCTCACAATGTAAAATTACAAGGAATTAAAGGGTTATTATAGTACAAGTGATATTAAAATACCTAAGTTAGCTAAATAATATTTATAGAATGTCCAAACTTAGATTATTAATTATTAATATATCAATATCAGTGGCGGAGCTAGAAAACAATTTTAGGTGTGGCAGATTTTACCGGCCTAGCGCACCGCAACAACCTGCGGCGGTGGGCAGCGGCGTGGCCCCGACGCGCTATGACGGTGGGCGGCGGCGCAGTCCCAGGCGCTACAGCGGTAGGCGGTGGCGCGGTGATGCGGAAGTGGCTTTCGAGGCCCGAGCACGCCGAGAGCCAATGGTCGAGACAATCCGAGAAGGCCGAGAAAAAAGCCAAAACCACGCGTGCATGGCCTAAAAGACGGGTACGTGCCCGTATGCGACGTTCACGAGGAAGGCGACGTAAGCCGTGGACACACGCATGGCCTCGGGCTTATCGCACGGGGTCAAGACGCGCCTGGCCGAGACCTGGAAATCCTGCAGGTCGACGACGAGGACTGGATGACACCCGATATGAGACACGCGCACGAGAAGGTTTGAGAAGTCTCGTGAGACAAGGAATAGCACGCGACCAAGCACGCGGGGACGCACACGGGCGTGCATGGGCGATGGGCGTGCGCAGTGCGCGTGATGACGGACGGGGCGCTGAGCGGACAAAAGGAATCCGCGTCCCAGCAGGCAAAGGAATGGTGAGCGCACACGGGCGCGAACGCGAAAGAATCGACCGAGTACGGGATAGCGCGCGAGTGGACAGGCGCATGCCTGGGCGCGATAGGCATAGGCGAGGTTGGCAGCGCACACGCGCGCGAGGAACTCGGGAGCGGACTGGGCACACACATGGACGCGCGTGCGATGAGGCGGGCGCGCAAGAGACCTACGCAGACGAGGAGTGCGAGTGCAATGGGCGCACGCGGGAGGCACGCGACGCGCACGCATAAGGCGGTCAAGATATGACGGCCGAATACTATGGGTGTGAATTTGGAATTGTTTGGAGTGCAAGCCAAGCAAGATCAAGACAATCTAGTCAATTAGGACTCTAGTATATTTAGTTTCCTTCTTGCACAATAATATCTAGATTGTATAGGTTATTTAATATTTAATTGCTTTAATTAGAGATTTAGTTGGAATAGGATTTATTTACTGCACAGTTTAGGAGATCTAGTTAGATTAAAATTAGATTTAGTTTTCTCCTATAAATACCCATGTCCTCTTGTTATTTTTCATATGGATGAATGAAAGAATAGTTTGAGTAGTCTTAGTTAGTAGAGAATCCAGAACTTTTGTTCAAACACTTTGCTTTAGTTTTCCACCAAAATTCTATTGCAATTTTATTCGTTCCAAGAGGCGCGGTTGTGGCTCGAAGAACACCTATCGGCGATTCAAGGCGCGGGATAGCGGCTTATCGGCAGTCGGGACACGCGATCTTCATCACGCGGCCCCGGCGCGCTACGGCGGCAGGCGGCGGCCTGGCCCCGGCGTTGAGAAAGCAACACCAAAATTGTGAAATTGGAAGTATGAATCGTCAATCACGAGAGGGGTACCTCACCTCGGGGAGCCACTGCCCATTGGTCGTCCTCGTCGTCGACGAACACAAAACTGGCTCCTCGGTCTTCATTTCCCCATCACCTAATTCCACGAAGTACCATTCATCCTTGACGAATATTTCTTTATCATCTTCCTCATGAAACCCTACAATTTCCTTCGCAGTAGCCATTTTTCTTTTCTCCAATTTTGATTTTTTCTGAAGGAAATTTGATAAACCCCTGGCGGCCAGGTATGGCGAACAGCAAGAACTGGGGGGTGGGGGGGTGTTCGCCGGCGGCCAGGTATGGCGGCCGCCATGCCTTGCCATACTGGTGGCTCCGCCACTGATCAATATTATTTGTCCAAACCTAATTACGAAGCATGATTCTTCGCCAAGTAGGATTCCGATGCACCAGAAGCAGCCACGTAGGCTCAGCGCATTCGGGAATTATATATAGGGAGGATTTTTCCAAAATTTACCCAGCCTCTTTGTTAATTGTTTTTGTAATTATTAAACTTTAGAATTAATTAATGAATAAAGATAAAAAAAAACTTATTATGAGTCATGCATTCATATTATTAATTATAATGAATATTCTCATGCATTTATATTTCATTTTCTTTTGTCATGTCTAAATAATGTCATCATGTGAGATGAAGCCGCCATGCTCCATCACAAAAGGGCCACCTCAAATGATACTTCATCCTGACCAAGTTGAAAAAAATTAATAATAATAATAAATAAATAAAATCCATGATTTGAAACCCATGATTACTTAGATACCAAGATTAAATGTCAAAGAGGCACAAAATTTATAAAATTTGATAAGAGCAAAGCAAAACAAAGTTATATTGAATTATAATTTGACCGTAAAATCACATACACCTGATTCGGAATTATAATTTTAGCCATTAGATCACACACATCTGCGCATATGTATATTGATCTGACAACTAAAAACCACATGAGACGCTAATCACGTGCACATGATGAAATTTCTAAATTTTTTCATGGTTGTGTCGTTTTAGAGATTAAAAAAATAAAATGGAAAGCAAAAAA